GCAAAATAGATAGGTATCATCCATCTTAATTGTTCCAAAGTACCATGAGCATCAGAGTGGGAAAGACTGTCTGAAATTAGGTGCCGTCTGTCAGTACTCAACTCTGCTGCAAACCCCTGTAATGATGATCACACCTTTCTTCTTAAAGCAGCACAGTTTCCTCTACACAGGAATCACAATTTCCAACTGTACAGATAGGCAGTGGGTAAAATAATGCTCCTCTTCCGTCTAAGCCAGGAGCTCCAAGACGGCAGCAACATCGATCCTCCTCTTCTTTACATTTTCTATGCCTACAGAAACACGTTTATTCACTAAGTTATTTGTCAACAAATGGAAGAGGCCTCTCTTCTCTGGGCACTTTCATACTGTGCTCTCTAATTTTCCTTCCATGTCTCTTTTTCTCTTTTCTGCCTTCACTTCCCATAGTTTTACCTTTGTTCCCTTGTGTGAATTTCAGCAAATCAAGTCACTCACCCTCTCAGGATCAGTTTGTTCACTCACAAAACGATAGAGTTCATCTCTTTTGCATACATAGTCCTATGTTCCCAAGCTACGCTTGAATATTATTCACAGTCAAATTCTCCACCTGTCTGGCCAAACATCTCTCACACGCTGTATTTTATCACACCGATTGGCCTCCATCCAGAATGTCATTCCATTCTCCAACTTCGCACGTCCAGTTTGTATAATCTCAAAGCTCAGCACAAATGCCACTTCCAGGAATCTGTGTTAGATCTCCTAGAAGTCCTTCGCCTCTTGTTAACAGTATGGGTCTCATCCTCCTACATCTGTAATTCTGTTTGCATGTCTTCTCCTTCCCACTCCACTGCGTCACCTTAGAGGGTAGAGGTAACTCCTCATCATTTTCTACCTCCCACCTTGGTCTTCGCTCATGGTAGGCACTTAGCAAGCTTCACACTGAAAGGATTCAGCATAGGGCACGGCAGCCACCTTGCTTTCAATCTTCTCTTCAATCTCTACATTTCTAGAAGACTGAAATCTTTACAATGTACCACTCTAATTACACCAATTTGTGTTCCTTTGCTTGCATTCACTATGTTTTTTTCCATCTAGAAAACTACTCTGCCACCTCTGTCCCCACCGTGTCAACCCCACATTATTCAGCTTCAATATGATATTCGTCAAGGGAGCTTTACTTAAACCCCAGCCTAGGTCACTTTCCTCTGTAATACATTTTCATACCCCTCCCCCACCATTTTCTTTAGGGCGTTTATCAATGGCTGAATTGACATGGCTGACAGGATAAACAGCCTAGACTTTCACCAAACTATAAAACTCAATCAAGCAGGCACCATGTCTGTTTTGCCCACATTTGTACCCTCTGCATAATACTTAACACATCAGTGAAAAATAATAACAACACGTCACGCTCCTGCAGTGATGAACATCTAAGCTAAATGTAAAGACTTGGAACCTGGAATGTGTAAAATCTTTGCCTGGCTTCCTGAAATCTTTTCAAAGTAAAAACGGGATGCCAAGTAGCTGTTCTTAATAGTCAAACTGGCCTTTTATTCACCATAAGAAATGCATAGAACAGAACGAAGGCTGCCTCTTCAATACAGGAAGGAAGCCAAACTCATCCTCCTTTACGCATGTGGGCCTCCTAAGTAACACCAAATGGCTGCTTCATTTAGTTACCAAATACTCCCTGAGCACCTAGTCTACATCATACAACAGGCAACTGGGTAATCACACAGTAACTGAAGTTGGTAGGCCCTCTTCCTGCTTGGAATGCAAAAACTTTTGGTAGCCATGATATCTGAGTAATATAATTAAAGGCATTAAAGGCTCCATCAAAGGAGACACTGAATCTGAGAGTGAAATATCACCTGGGAGAGGTAACGGAGGTAATGGAGGAAGCACCCTGGGCCTTATCTTACCATGCAGTCAAGACCTAAGTGAATAAATTGACAGTAAGAACTTACAAAATATTATAGGAATTCAAAAAATAATTTTGTCTGTGGATTCTATTAATAAAAATGTGGGCTTGTGTTTTTTTATGTATTTTCTTTCATTTTCTAGTAATTTGCATGTAGTTAATATATTTTACTAAAGTAAGTCTGTGACCACTAGGGGAAATTGATCCTTTGCCAAGACAATTTGACAAGCACTACACCAGAGCCATTCTGCTGGAGGCGGCATCTGTACCACAGCAGTTTGAGGATCACTTTGCATCTCGAGAAAGTACAAATGCTCTGCTCCTCCACTCCTAGACCTTCAAATCTGAACGAGCATTTTACCAATATTCCAAGGAGTACGTGTGCATATTGAGGTTTGAGAGGCACTCAGATGACTTCTAAAGCCCAGTATAACCGTGGAATTTTATGGCTGACTTTAGATAGAAAACGTCAGAACTAAATGAACCTTGAAGATCAGCCTGCCTCACCATTTTGTAGATGGAAGAGCCGAGGCTCATGGAGGGGAAGTCATGAGTCAGAGTTAATGCCAGGAAGAAACCAGGTTTGCTGTGCCCAGGCTAACATCCAAGTGTGCGCTTGGCTCCAGTACACTGCCTGTTCTCTCCTTCACTATCAACCCCACTGAGTACCACCCCTTCGTGATGCCTTTGTTTCTGAAATACTTTCTGATGAAACCAGCTTTTCTTCTACTACCCACATCCTTATGAGCCTGGAGTCCTCAGCATTTCTTGTTTTTCAGATTGCTTTTAATCACAGCCTCTGGAATCTTCCTCCATGCCTGTTGTCAGCCGCCATCCGGGCATCCCAGGGTGTTAGAAGGACTAACACCAACTGAGGCTGGGCTTTTGGAGCACAAAAGGGACCTTCTTTGTTCCCAGCAGTCCAGATGACATCACCTATCAAGCTCTTCCAAAGAGGAGAACACACTTTATCAGGGCTGCTTCGGAAAGCTCAGGAACATCAATTTGCAGCTGACAAACAAGTGGGATATTAAGCCATATTAGTAAAACTCTAGTTCTCAGAATAGAGAAATGATGATCCCTCACTTTGTGATCTTGTCACACCTGAATCTTGAGAGAGGGGGATATGACTGCAGTGTTCAAGTAACTGAAGTAAGCAAATGAGAATAAGCAAATCTGCTCTAGATATTCCCTGAGAACCAATGAGTGGAAGTTACTGGGAGATACATGCTGGCTTGTAATGGAAATTACTTTCTCACAATCAGAGTTGCACAAAGACACAAAGAGCCCCTCCAGGGAATTCAAATAGAAATCAGTCAACAAACTGGAAGTTTAGGACAAATTCCAGAAGGGAGTAGAGAAGTAAAGCTTAATGACTTTTAGATCTTTCCAGATCCAAGCTCTGAGTGCAGTAAAATTTGCAGTACAGGGTGACTCCAAGCTTTTGGGAAACAAAGGCAAGAGCTATATCTAAAAGGTACAATTTGAGCCTGTATGTAAAATAGATGTGGCTAGAAAAATGGAAAAACAAAATTCTTCCAGACATCATTTCCAAAGGAAATGGCCAGGAGAAGTGTTATGGGGAGCCTCGCCAAGAAGCCCAGGTGAGGTTTGCCACACAAAGGCCAAACCACCTGCCCACTCCAAGTTCCTGTTACCCCGCACAGAGGACAGAGCTTTGCTTTCCAAAAAATCTTACTAAGCAGCAGCATGCCTGGTGCCCCTACACTTGCCTATTAGAAAAGGGTGCAGAATTCTCTCTGAGGAGTCAGTAAGACTTGAAGCTTAAGGCCAGCGGCTCCAGAGTCAGGGCTCTTGTGTTTCAGTTTCCAGTTAAGATATTTATTGCTCTGTAATCCTGAACATATTACTTCACCGCACTGTGCCTCAGTTTCCTCATCAGTAAACCAAAGACAACAGTAACGTCTTCTTTGCTAAAGTTGATGTAAACATTCTGTGAAATAATACACATTAAACCCTCAGCCCAAGGTCCAACACATATCAAATGCTCAAAACTGTTAGCAATCAGTATTATTGATGCTCTAATTGTTGCAGGCATGGCAGTGCCACTAACCCAGGAAGCCCCTCTGAAACAGCCACGTCCCTTCCCCTATGGGCTCAGAAGGGCTACAACAGCTTCAGTCAGCCCTGGCCATAGCTCCAGAAAACCAGAACCTGTGAACCTTCAATAAGCGCCAACGTCGGGGGGGGGGGGGGGGGGACTGGACCCGGCTTCTCCCCGTTCTCTCCAACCACCAGCCACCCCTCCCCCAATCCTCCTGCCTCTGCCACCCGCAGACACAGCCAGAGAAGCAACACACTGGAAAGCCAGTTCTAGACACACCATCAGGTGTTTTCTCTCTCCCAAGGACACCGCTGGACCTAACACTATGCCCACCAGTGGGAGGGCACATGATGTGTGAATGCCTGGCCTGGGCCAGGTGGGCAGTTCAGCTACCTGAGACTCAGGTAGGTTATCGTTGGGCTTCCCTCACAGGAGCCACAAAATGCTTCCAAGTTTGTGGAGGAACTCAGGCCCAGCCCAACAGCAGTCTTAAAGGAAGAGAGGAGGTCTCTACCTGCTTCAAAGGAAGCAGTTATTTACAACTTTCTACTCACTGGCCTCTGGGGAAGGAAATGGGGAGATGGAGGAAGGGGCTGCACGGTCTTTTCTTCCTTTCTTATTTCCAGCAGTGAGCTGCAGCTGCAGAGAAAGAGTTAAAGGAGGCAGGAAGCTCCAGCCATTACCCCATCCTCGGCGCCCAGGGCTGTCTGGGGGGTCATGACAGTGCTGTCTGCTCTGGCTAGGGGCCACTCTGTGGCTTTCTGCAGCAGCTGCCTGGCCCCCTAAGCAATTTGCAAGGTCAATGCCGACCTGCTTCCGAAGAGAAACAAAACAATTCACTGACAATGAAGCAAATCGCGCCCACACCGCCTCATGCAACCCCCCTTCCCTAAGCCAGGCTTCCCCCCAGTGCCTCCCGGCCCAGGTGCCGCCTCCCGACCAACCCAAGGAGACTCTCAGCCTGGGGAGAGAGGCTACCGATGAAGGAGATCTGAGCCTGGGGGAGGGGGAAGAAGCACCATCGAGGTCTCTTACCAAGCGCCAGAGTCACTGCCCCGAAGCCCAAGGAGAGGAGGTTGAATGGAGTGAAACAAGTTGGAGACTGAGCCCTGACAGAGCTCAGCTTCTCTCTCGCTCGCTCTCTGTCTGTCTCTCTGTCTCTCTCTGGATCTCTCTCCAGGTCCCTTCGGTCTGTCTCAGCTCTGCTGCTAGCTAGCGCGCGCTCACGCTCTCTCCCGCCCTCCTCTCTCTCTCTCTCTCTCTCTCTCTCTCTCTCTCTCTCTCTCTCTCTCTCTCTCTCTCTCTCGGTGTGTGTGTCTCTCTCTCCCTCTCCCTGTCTCCCCCCCCTACCCCTCCCGTTGTCCCCTCCTCTTCTCCCTCTTTGCTGCCTGGTGCTGAGCACGCGGTTGTGCTGGGGCTCCTCAGAACACAGCGCTGCAAGGCTTTAGGTCTGTGGTGGTTTCACCAAACACTAAAGTAGCCTTTTATTCTTTAAGGTTTCCAGCAGAGAAAAGAAGGAATCTCAGAGAGAAGGGGAGGCGCAGGGGAAGCAAGGGGAAGAGAAAGACAGCAAAAGGGTGAGGGCGAACAGGAGGGCGGATAAAGGAAGGATGGATTACCGTGGCTTCTGCCTCCCTGCCTCTCCTTCTGCCTTACATCCCCATGGGCGTGCCTTCTAACAGTCTCCAAAGAAAGCTTCGCCAATCTCGTCTGCTCAGATTCCATCCCCGAGGATAATGACCAGCTAAAAGATGTACATCAACGGGCTGTCACCCACACTCCACCCTGAAGAAAGTGTGCAGCCACACTGGTCCCCTAATGACCTAACTTCTACCCAACCCCCCACCAAGCGCAAGTGTGGACCCAATTCAAAACTCAACTGAGCTTCCCCTGGGCAACACAGAAGCAGCACAACGCACTACTTTCCATCCCAACAGTTCTGAAGGAAGGCAGGTCTAAGTGTGTGAGCTTATGCTTGAGTTTGCACAAGGGGAGAGAGGAGATACAAGGAGGAAAGAAGGCTGATTCAAACTGTAAAAGACTTACACTTCCATTAAGGCAATAAAATAAAAAGCAACCTGGTGAATAAAATACCCAAGCACAATAACAAAGTAGACACCTACACTAAGACTAAAATCAAGGCACAGGGGGTGGAGTCTTGCCTTTGAAAATGAGGATGCTGCCTTGGGTGAGTCACTTCTTCACTCTTCCCTGGCTCTCCCCAATGCCTGATTGCAAGGAGAGGAAAGTAAATGAGTTTGCAAGACCCTTCCATTCTACTAACTTTCTGTCTAAAGACATGAAAGGCCCACATAAAGGAGATGACATCTCAGAGAATGAAAACACACTGCCAAATATCAAAGGGTCTCCCAAAGATAAACGCCCAAATGGGACTCCAGGTCACACTGACTCAATATTCCATTTTTAGTACTGTAGGGGTGATATGAACGTGGGCATCTGTGGAAAGAGCCCCTCCTATCAAAGAATTCAGCTCCTACTCATATATAATGAATAACACAGCACTTTTTAATTAATCCTTCATTTTGTGATTTCCAGCTCACGCAGTCAGAGAAACAAAGGACATCTACTTAAAAGTGAGTTATATTGTGTGTTTTAACCATACTGGCCTCAATACAACACAGTAATTGAGACATGGTAACCATGTATAATTTCGCCCACAGTGTAGTGTTTCTGCTTAAACTGTCATTATACGGGTTTTTTTTTTTCTCCTCAATTCTTAATACTGTCTACTGCTGCCCAGTGAGTGCAGTTCTTCAAAGCATGTGTCCCTATCTTGAGGAAAATAACCTTAGAGTTGCTGAGTTGAAAAGACCCAAAAAAACTTGTTTCGATGTACAAAAAGACAAACATGACTGAAGAAAAAGTAAAAGTCACACAAAGTCATAGTGAACAGGGTAGAATAAAGATCAACATCCAGACCACTGACCCCACATACAGTGTGCCGGTCTGCCACAACAACAAAGAAGTTGTGAATAAAGCATTACACTCTTTTCTGCATATGTATGCATTTTCAGTGTCTCTTCATTTGCATAAATGGCCACTGGGTTTAATGAATTAATAAACTAGCCAAAGAAAAGTTATGGAAGGACCTAAGTTTGCTGTCTTAGTTTCCAGGGCTGCCATTATTTTGGTAGCATAAAGCGACAGAAACTTATTCCATCACAGTTCCAAAGACCACCAGCATAAAACAAAGGTGCTGGCAGGGCTGCCCTTCTTTCCAAGGCTCTATGGGAAAACGCTTCTTTATCTTTTATGGATCTTGGTGGCTCATCACACTCCTTGTCTGCTATAGTAGCACTACTTCAGTCTCAGCTTCAATCTTCAAATCACCTTCTCTATATCTCTGTGAACCAAAATTTCCATCTATTATCTCTTATAAAAACACCATAAACCTAGGATGATTTCATCTTGAGACCTTTAAAAACCTAACTATGTCTGCAAGACTGTGTCTTCTAAATCAGGTCACAACTTGAAGTTGTGGGAAGATGTGAATTTTGGCGGAACACTATTCGATCCAGTACAGTTACTAACCTTTCTTTTTTATACTAAATATAACATTTAAAGCACTGTAATTTTTTCCCAGTGATCAAACTCATGACCTTGCACTCACCAGGCAGGTGCTTAAGCCACTGAACCAAACACCTGGCCTTTACTACTATCATCTTAAAATCATAATTCATAATTCATATCAATTGTACAGATTAGCAAGATTCTCTGTGGCATTTCCATACATGCCTATAGAATGCTTGTTTGGGCTACCTGCCAGGGTAAGTTCCTTCTCACCATCCCAAGCCCCCAGAGAGTTTAAGATCATCGCTCTCAGTGGTCAAGGACACGCCCAGCTTGCAGCCACATTAGACTGGGCTCACCAGGGTTCAGGCCTGCCTGGGCCATGCCCAGTGACCTTCTTTCAATCCCGGGAACTTTGCTTCCTGGAGAGGTAAGTTCTTTCTCACCATCCCAAACCCCAGGAGACTCTAAGATCAGAGCTCCCAGGGGTCGAGGATGTGCCCAGCTTGCAGCCACACTAGACTAGGCTTGGGAGGTTTTGCGGCCTGAATAGATTACACCCAGTAACCTTCTTCAATCAGGGGAGTTGAGAACACATGAAATGAGTTCCAGCGCATTGGTCCTTGCCCGGGGAGAGCTTTGGATCATCATCCACAGTGATTAGGTGCCTGCCCAGCTTCCTGGAACACTGGAGGTGGCACGGGAGGTCCTGTGTGCCTCACTAGCCCACACTCAGCAAACTCCATTCAGTCCCAGGAGCCCAGGGCATAGGAGACAATTTCCAATATGCCCAGGGGAAGTTTTGGAATATCACTTGAAACACGGAAATATAGGAAAATGACAAAACAAAAGACTAAAATGCAATCTCAAACCTCCAGCCCATCGCAAGAAAGCCTAGGAGCCATGAACATAGAAGAAAATATATGTCATACACGTGAAATACCTGAAATAATAGCAACTGAAATAAAGAAGCAACTCCGAGAAGTTTTAAAATACTTAAAACTAGAAATAATCTCCCAGGTAAAAGAAGAAATGATAAAATTAATGAAAGAGATGCTGAACACATCTAAAGAAGACACAGTTTAAGAATTAGATGAACAAAACAAAAGGATACAATCCCTGGATGAACAATATAAGAAACAAACAGAATACATGAAGGAGATTCAAAGAGATATACAGGAAATCAAAAATCTCATTGAAAGATGTCAAAACTGACTCAGTGAAAGTGAAGATAGAATTTCAGACCTTGAAGACAAGATTGCAGCTAGTGAACAGGAAAGGAAAGATCTTTTAAAAATAACATGGAATCAGAAAATAACAATTCAACAGCTGCAAGATGATGCAAAGAAAAACAATATAAAATTAACAGGCATAAATAAAAAAGAAGGAAACAACACAAATGATATCAAGAGGATATTTGCAGAAGTAACAGCTGAAAATTTCCCAAACATGAGAATGGGAACTGACAGTAGGATTAGTGAAGCATATAGAACCCAAATAGTCATGACCAAATAAAACTACACACAGATATACAATGATCACTATCCCAGAAATCCAACATAAGAACAGAATATTAAAAGCTGTTAGAGAGAAAAGACAAATCATGTATAAAGGAAGGCCAGTCAGAATTATAGCAGACTCCTAACATAAACAGTGAAGTCAAGAAGAGCATGGAGTGAAGTATTTCATATCATAAAGGAAAACGATTTTCAACCTAGAATGATGTACCCTGAAAAACTGGTCTTCAAAATGGATGGAGAAATAACATACTTCTATGACAAAGAACAGCTGAAGAACTTCATGATCACCAAGCCAACCCTGCAAAGAATACTGAAAGACAGTGTAGATACACTTAGGAAAAAACCACTAAGCAAGGCAGACAATTAAACAGAATCAAAAGATAAAGATGCAACAGCAGAAAGATAACATGTCAACAATAAACCAATATATAAGTTGTAAACCTTAACGTAAATGGCCTCAATTCAACAATTAAAAGAAACAGATTGGCAGAATGGATATGCTGTCTACAAGAAACCCATCTAACCCAAAAGGAAACTCTCAGACACACTGAAAGTCAAATGATGGAAAACAATACTTCATGCAAGAGGAACTGGAAAAAAAGCAGGCATAGCTATCCTGTTTGCAGACAATGTGAACTTCAAAACAAGAATGATCAGAAGAGATAAAAAAGGTCACTACATATTGGTTAGAGGAAAACTTTAAGAGGAAGAAATAACAATCTTAAATACATATTCACCAAATTCCACAGCACCCAGTTATACAAAGCAAGTATTAAGAGAAATGAAAAATCCAATTAGCAATAACATGATTGTAACAGGAGACCTTAACACACCATTGACACCAAGGAACAGATCAATCAGACAAAAAATCAGCAAAGAAATAACAGAACTGAATCACATCTGTGAACAGATGGACTTCATAGACATATACATAGTGTTTCATCCAACAACATCAGAATACACATTCTTATCAGCAATACATGGGTCATTCTCTAAAACAGATCATATATTAGCTCACAGAACATATTTAAATAAATGCAAAAGAAATGGAAATTATCCCATGCATGTTATCAGATCATAGCATCATGAAACTAGAAATTAATGATAAAAGAAACTGCAAAAACCCCCACAAACACATG